TATGATGTGCCATTGACTATTATTTCGTATGATATTGGAATATAGGATGTAGGCCTGGTAAGTGGCCCAAGTAAAATAATTTCTGGACTTCTCTTGTCGTTATGATATTAGGCCCAGCCCAACAGAAATGTGGCCCAAGTAAAATAATTTCTGGACTTCTCTTGTCGTTATGATATTAGGCCCAGCCCAACAGAAATGTGGCCCAAGTAAATTATTTTCACGTCGGTTTCAATAATATTGTCCCATAACATAAAGTAAATTCTAATTTTCCAAAAAGGTTTCAACGTTTAGATAGTGTGCTCGTTAAATATTAGAAAATTTGTAATTTGAAGTGGCAGCTGGTTATTAATATATAGGAAAAATAACATAAACTAAACAGCTTTCTTTTTTTCTTTCAAAAAAAAATCACGAATTTGATAATGAGATAGGAATAAAAGGACACTTATAGACAGGTTTTAATATGCAATTGTTCATGGATACTTTGGTAACTATACCCTTATGTGTAAACATTTTCATGTTGACTTGTTCTCTCTACCTATTATCAAATATGATAAATAACCCACCTCTCGATAAGATCTTTTAAAGTTTAAACTTGCGTTACAAATCGAATAGAAAATATTTAATGATGAAATGAAATTACACCCTCACAAACTCAAGAGTATTCGGCTTCAGAAAGGTCAAATTGAAAACTCTTTTCACTCTTGTGATGCAAATTGAGGACTATTTTCACTCTCATGCTATTTTTCACTCATGAACTCACACTGTTCAAATAGTATTGACGTGTCACTTATTCACATATGACAAATGGCTAACTAGTTTGTATTTTTGATCTCTTATGTTTATAGCTGCTATTTTACAGCGAGACATGGTAATTGTCAAAACATGGAAAAATGAGTTTATGAAATTTAGATGAGTATTTTTTGTTGGTGTATTCTAAGAGATGGGGGTATTTGAAGAAAGGAAGAAGGGGATGTAAAAATATATATGATTGGGAAAGAGAAGACAAAATGAGAGGTGGGAAGATTTGGATTTGAAATGATATTGCCTTTTTTTTTCTTTCTTTTTTAAATAAATCTAATTTGTTAGATTGGGAAAACAAAATGATGAGGTGAAAGGAATATTGTACTGTTGGCTATCCTATCCATATATGGGGTGGGCCTTCCCTTCCCTTCCCTTTTCATTCTTCAAATTCATAATCATTATTTCTGTCTCTTCGTTTCATCATTTCATTTCGTGAATTTTAAACATATAACTTTTTCCCAACCTGGGATCTCCCTTCTCTCCAAAATCTCATCCATTTATATTTCTATATATAGTTTGCAAGGTTACAAATTTGGTCCCTTACACTTCATTTCAATTTGATTTCTTTATTTTTTATAATTCTCATTCATACTTATTGTTTGCAAGGAAATATGGTCATCTACGCGACAATAAGTTGATGTTTTCTATTTGTCATAACTAAATAGAATGATTTTCTAGGTGGGCAACATATAAAGTTTAACCTAAGTACAAAGACTAATTAAATTAAAACTTTTCTTAAACAATAGAGACCGAACGGGTAAAAATGAGGTTTTATTTTTTCTCTCGGGGCTATAATTAATAAGTTAGAATGTAAGTTATCAGTAAATTAGTTGGAAGGGATAGTAACAGGAAAGACTGAACAGTGTAAGAAAAGTAAAGGCCATCTTCTAAATCCAACCTCTTCCAGCTTATCTGAAAAAGGTAGCTGAGGGTTTGACTTCAACTGTGAAGGTGTCTAGGTTTTGGTTTTTTTTTTTTTTTTCTTTCTTTCTTTCTTGGAGAAGAAAAAGAAAAAAGAAGAGAGAAAAAATCTAAAAGATGCAGATCTGATTGTGGCCACATCAACGTCAAATTTATTTCAAACCCAAAATAATGGTTATGAGTATTATGCAGTTCGATTCAATGATGAAGAATATTCTACAACTTAGAAGGGTCACAAATCTCATCATTTTCCTCGTATATCTGCATATTTTTAGCCATTAATTTTATTATATGTACCAACCCATTTCAACCTTTCACCTAGACAACAACAAATTTGCTAGTGTTTATTAGCAAACTGCAGCCATGTTTTTGGAATAAATATTATATTTCTCGACAAATTTAAATGGTGAGAAATGTAATCTAAATGTTTTCAGCTCAATACTTTTCTAATTTTCTACATATTTATGGAAAAGAAAGACCCAAAAAAATAATATGAGAGAAACATGACACAGTTGTTTTGGCTGTGGAGTCCAAGGAAGACAGTCAAACTTTTGGAACAATTAACAATTATTGCTTCCACTTTTGTCGGGTAGTTCCTCTTCTCCTCCCCTCACCATATCAAATTATGAAATGAAATCTTTCAAGGGAAAAAAAATAATATTTCCTATTTTTGCAATTATGGTTGTTGTGTATTTTATTGTTTAGATCTAATTAGTAAACATCCAAATCTCAAAAACAAATAGATTTTCTCATTTTATCCTTTGAAAATCCGCGAAGATGAACGAAAATTTGGAACCTTAATAATTGTGGTTGGTGTTTTGGAATAGTTTTTGTATAGATATGATGGTTGGTAGAATTCTCATTTTATACAAAATCAATGCTTTGGTGTTAGTTGATCCATAAATAGACAAAAATGTTAGATCCAATTCATCGATATGTTATTTCAATACTCTCTAATTTTCTCATGTCGATTGAAAATGGATAATGTAATTGCTTATAAATCCCTATATGAATGGTCACAACAAACGCCATGTTGATTATACTTGGTTTATAAATCTTTTCTCATGGAGATTTCCTTAGCTATTTTTAGCAATACTAATCTTATTGCTCATATAGAAGTTCAAACTATAAAGTTTGTTCTACAATTAGAATGAATAGTTATTCAAAAAAATATACCCTAATAAATTTTAGGAAAAAACAATCTTAAACTTGGTAAGGTATATTATTCTATAACAAAACCTTCAATTTTATTAAATGGAATACTAAATTGATCACAAGGGTAACAAATCTCACATTATATTGTTAATTTGCCCACTAATTTCAAAAAAATAAAAAGTTAAAATTTTGCAAAATGTCACTCATCTTAACGAGAATGAATTGAATCAACCATTGAATGGATTTCCCAGAATTACCGCAGATTTATCTTAATGAAAAAAATCTGTAATATCATTTTTTCTCCAAAGTTTCATTAATTTCTTATCAAAATACATATTTTTATAATTCATTAAACACAATTTTTTTTAGGTTCATCCAATAAAAGTATATTAGAAGATAAAAGTTGATTCAAAAGCTGAGGGGTTAAAAATGAATTCCCCCCCAAAATTTTGAAAACAAGAGAAAACAACTCTGTGTACACTCCTCCATACATACAGTACAACTAGTTAGATATTCTAAGGTTGAGTTCAGATATTGAGAAATAATAATTCATGAGTACCAACGCAATACATCGTAATTAAACAAATCTCCAATTAATTATAACTTATATGGGGAATGATGAGATTAAAATTATAAGATTCTTAAATAAAATCGGCATGGTTCGTAATTCGTATGCACGTACGATTGCGTTTTCTCAGGTTGATTTTGGGAATCAACGATCAATATTCGCCTTTCATTTTCTTTAGCACAAAAAAGGCTTCACCTTTGAAAAAAGTTGGTAGTACCGCGTATTCGCCAATTACATGAAATTAATTTAACAGAGGCCAACGCTATGTGCTAGAAAATTGTTGGACACCAGAGAGAAATTCTGAACAAATAAAATACATTCCAAAAGAAACAGATTAATTCGATCGATCGTTCACAAGTAATTTTTAGGAAGAAAGAAAAAAAAAACTTTTTTTTCCCTCTGTTTGGAGTGTCAGCTGAAAGCAGCTTCCTCTTGAATCGACAGTAGAATTTGATTCACGGCGGCTGCAATTTCATCCACTGTATTCAACTGGCATCCTTCCTCAACCTGAAGACCCAATTCAAACAAATCATCACTAATTTGAGACAAAATTAAACCATGATCTAATTTCAAAAAAAGGTCGTAAATTTACCTTGATGCTGACAGAGTAAAGAACCATTTGATCTAAAGTGGTGACATTGAGGTGAAGAACGGTGAGTCTCAAGGTTTGGAATCCGGCGACCATTTTGAGGAGCTGGCGAGGGCGTTTTCTGGACAGTATTTTAAGGTTGGCGTGGGTGTCGACCATGGTGACTTCGATGTCTCCGGCGGCGGCCCACTGCTGGTGGGGCATCGGCGAGTCATTGGCCGAGTTCTTGCACTGAGTCGTCGCACGAGTTGAGAATTGGGGGAAGGAGAAGAACTCGGCAAAAGGGGAGGCGTCGTCGATTTGGGGTTGTGTCTCGGCCTTGTGCGCCTTGATGAATTGCAGTTGCTGCTCTAATTCCTTAACAAAGTTAATGGCGCCACCAATAATGGAGGCTTGGTCTCCCTGCTATCATATGCAAATAATTAGGCTATGGATTTCGTTATGGGTACAGCTTAAAAATTGACAATTGCATGTGCCAACACACCCAATTATTAAACATGCAATTCATATATGTCGTGAAATTGAAGTAATTGAACAGTTCCTCCCTCTCTACTAAAGTAAAATTTTACGGAGAGATATGATACGATGCGTTGTTTTTTGCCTTTTTTTTTAGATCAGAGACTTTTTGGGCGGTACCTTTTGTCATTATCAATATAATCTCTCTCTCTGTTTTTCTTTTTGTTTTTTTTTTTTGTTTTAGAGAGATAAAACTGACTGACCCTTTGAACGTAAGAGGAGGGCATGAGAGATCGGAGGACGGCGAGATATTCATTCATCTGCTTCCGGCGGTTGCGCTCGACGGCGATGTGGGTCATCCTCTGATTCTCAATTTCCTCCTTGTTTTTGGTGCTCCGAGTGCGGCGCCGCTTTCTTCTTCCGGTGGTCGGCGGGGGCGGTTCCACCGGAGGAAACACAGCTCCGGGGAGCGGCTGCTGATCGGTTGAACATTCCTCTGGCGAAGCTTCCCAATTAGAGCCCAATTTCTGGTCCTCAATGGGTCCGAGAAGGGCTCTTTGTTCTTCTAATTGAAACCCGTAATCATATCCTCCCTCCCAAGCTCCTCCGAAAGAACAGAAATCTCTACAAACATAGCTAAATGTGTCTTGTGGGTAAACCACAGTTTCCAATGCCATCATGAACAAACCGATCACTCTGTTCTATCAGATTTCGCTCTGTTTCTGTGGATCACATAACAAATTTGACAGACAGAAAGGGGAGAAGAGTTGAATTGGGTTGTTGAAACTTTAAACCCAATTGAAAGAAAGAAAGAAAGGAGATGGGGAAGTGGATGTATTTATAGGAAAGCAAAATTGAACAACACAAACACACACCCAAAAGACCAACAACCAAANCTCAAAGAGGAGAAGAACAAAGAAAAAGGTGAGAGCTTTTTAAAGGAAAAATGGATTGAAGCAAAGAATTAGAAGAGAACAAGGTGCACGTGAGAATGCAATTGTATATACAGCAGCAAAATAGAGAGAGGAATCTGATGTTGCACTGTTTGCTACAAATGGAATACTGTGTAGTGTTGGGTTTGGAATTTGGACTGTTAATTAAAGCCTAAAGGGAGGACGGAACCTCAGGTTTTAAAAATAGCTCTACTGTAATTCTAATCAAACTTAAATTGACGATTTATCATTTAATGATAATGGAAACGAGATTAATTAGACGCAAAGTGTGTTTTTAGAACATTTGGAGACTATATATGAGATTATGAGTTATGCTATGCCTCAAAACGGCCACGTTTCGTTCCCACCGGGTTACAATCACAAATCAAGAGCAGAATTCCTCTGCTTTTCTCTCACACTTAGCATCATAATTTTTTTTAATTTTTTTAATCAATAAGTATAAAGTATGTAATTATTTTCAATTTTGGGCTGAATGCTGATAGCCGAATAGGTTCGAATTGTTTTAGAAATTTTATCTTCTCTGGGCCCTACCCGCCTGAATTTAAGTCTACTTAGTACGTAATCCCTCATTTATAATCATCATAGTTTCATAAATTAAATAGGTGAACAGTAGTAACTTATTGGACACAAATTAAAAAATTACAGACAAATATTTTTTTCTTTTTTAATTTAAAGACTAAACAGACAAATTCTTTAAAGTCTATAAACTCAATTTGTAAGGTAACTTAGCTATAACATGCCTATTTTCTACGTAACAATTCTACTGCAAGGGTGAAGTAAGCTCTTATGTATTATATTGTCAACAGTTGTTAGGTTTTTTATTTTATTTGTGGCCATATTCATAAGCTTGCCTATCATTAGATTTTTATTTTACAAGAATTTATTTTTTTGAAAAATGGCTAGGCTTCCCCATCACCGCTGCTTGGGGTGGGGTAGCATAAGTCGTTTCCAATGAAGGGGTGAGCAGTTCTTGAAGAGCGAAACCGCTTTATCTAGTTTACGAGGTGAATGAGCGATAATTTTTACTAAAGGTTGTAATAATCTGAACGATCCCTATTACATTAGGACAAAAAAGAAATCTCTCTTCTTTTAAAATAAGAACTATTAAAGTTTTATATAAAAAATATGGAGATAAAATAGAAGAGAAATGTTTGAGAGAAGCTCCTTTTTAGAAATGAATACCCACCCACAACCACAAAATAAGTGAAGATTTCATATCCATATCATCGAATCAAAATTAGACTGCTGACTTGGTCAGCCAAGCGTGTTGCTCATGAGACAAAGGATTCAAAACAAAAAAACAAAAACTAAATTTAAAAAATATATTACTTGGCCTCATGTGGACAGATTTCATTGGCTTACAAATTTTGTCCATATTACTCACAAGATTGTTATTTGAGATTTATAATATTAGGGATTATAATTCTGATCATGTGGGAGATCGAAATTCTAAATGATGCTTAAATTGGTGTATATTATTAAACTTTAATTAGTCAAATCAAGTGAAATTATTTCAAAAAGGAGCATGTTAATAAGATTTGATTAGTTGTATTGTGGCAATGGTAGCTTTCCAACGAAAAGAGATAAAGGAATGGGGTAAAGCAATAAAGCGATGCTATTTTACTAAAATGACATTGCCCTATTTACTTTTTCTCTGATTTTTTTGTTCAATAATACGAACAAAAATCATTTTGATTTTTTTCCGTTGTTGTCTCATATTACTTTATCAAATGAAATTTAACATGGGTTGATAATTGCTATTTTTCATTATTTCTTTTTAACTAAACGCTCCATTTCTTTGACGATAAAATTGCATACTTTGATGGGATGGATATAAATTTTGATATTTTAAATTTAATGTACTTTAATTATTGAATAAATCATTATATTAATTAATTAACCAAATTAACATTTGTCAATTTGGGACCCTAAATCTCTCATTTACACTAATGATTTCATCTATAATTGAGCTAGTCTTTTGGTATTATCTCAATTTTGTATGCATGCACTAATTTAAATTAATACCGTACGGCTTGTTCAATACCAGTAGAATGATCAATTATGCTTATTGTATCGTATAAATATCCTTCCCTATTTAAGCCCATTATTTTGCTTGGGAACAAACCACTAAACTTTCTTTAGATGAGGAGAATTGAGGCTTAAGAGTGATGAGGGTCTCCTAGGAGGAATTGTGTTTGTCTTAATGAAGGTGATTACTGAAATTAAATCTCTCTTATTTTAGCTAAGTTAGGGCGTTCTTAGGATCTCTTTGGAGTCCCATCATTTGAATTTTTGCACTTTTTAAATGCATTTTTTTAGGGTATGAAGTAGTTGTCATCAAATTTATCTTACATTATTTGGTTAAACATCAATGCTTCTTCTCTTTTGCTTTCTATAATCTTTAGTTATTGTATAATTAACTGTTTCTTATCTTTTCACTAATTAAGGATTATTTATGACACATACTCAATCTTGCTAGTAAGCTTTCCCTGTAAAAATATCTTATTTCCTTGCTTTTAGAAAATTTTTATATTACATAATTATTTGTTGATAGAGATTTTTTTTTTCTATGAGCATTGTGGGTACCTAGGACCAAATTAAACTTCATATGTTACTATTTGTTTCATTTGTCATTAAAAATTGATCATTACTAATATAGATAGAATGTTTGCTCTAGTCAAAAAAAAAAAAAAAAGATAGAATGTTTGCTTATAACATTTTACTAAACTTTTAAATCTTATTTTTTGTCCTTAAAATTTTGTGTTGGTTCTATTTTAACCTCTGAATTTTCAATTATTTTTTAATCTTCAAAACTTTTAGAGAACTATTTTAATTTTTATTATTAAACAAAAGTTGAATAGTTAAGAGAGAATTAATTCTTTTGCATGTAACCCACCCCAACCTATTGTAGTCAATGTAAGTTCAATTTAAAAATTTATTAACAATGAGAGGAGTAACTCATGTATATATAAACATTGTTAAGTCTCTTGAAATTTTTTCAATGCGAAATCCTCAACATACTTTATAGTTTAACGATATAATTATAACTTTAATTTAAAGTTTAGAAACCAAATAGCCACTGTCCTCGACGTTGAACTAAATTTATAATTAAAAAATTTATCAAGAAACGAATTAAATTTGTGTTGCCATTACAAGACAATGATTAGTCCAGCAAGAAGATTTATAAAATCACTTTACCAGAACAATTGGGAGGGGGAAGGGAACGTTGTAGTGAAAGTGTAGTGTTTGTCTTTTGTTGTGTTTCGAAGCTCGAAAGGGAAGACTGCTTAAAAAGGATATGAAAAAGACAAAAGAAGGTTGCATTATATATATATATATATTATTATATTAGATTAGGTTAAAATAATAATGGGAGTATAGTGTATAGTGTATAGTGTATAGTGTATGGTTTTGATTTGATAATAATGTGGTCGGACACATAGAGGATAAAAAGAGAGGGTAGATAGATGACGAAAAGCTGGAAAGAAAATTAGCAGAGATTCTGATGAAGATCTAAAACACACACAGAAAAAGAGAGAAAAGAAAAGAAAAGAAAAAAATTATAAGATGCGGGACAATGGGTGCAGAGGAATCCATGTGACCTTACAAAGGGCCACTCTTGTAATCATCTACCATCACGACTATACTCTATATTGTGTCCGACACCCTTTCCAAGACCACCTACTGTTCTACTGCTCAAATGTATTTTCTTTTTTCTTTCTTTCTTTTTTTGTCACATGCAATCTTTTTCTTTTTTTTTTTTTTAATTTCTATATGGCCACTATTCGGGTGTTGTAATTGTTAATATTATTATTTTGGAACAAAAACTTTATAATATAAACAAATTAACCCACATTTCAATGAGACATTCTCAGAGGTATGTGTTTAATTCGTTCTATGGAATATCTTTGATGCCTACTCCCACTCTCTCTGACTCTTCTCTATTTCCTTATTGCTTTGTGTTCTGTGTTTGTTTTTCTCATTTTTATTACCCCATTCTATTAAATATTGGGTATCCGATAATATTATTCCTCCTGTTCCTCTATGTTTTGGAGTCTAAATTAAGGGTAGTTAATTGCTTTAAGAATATAATAATGCCATGTTCATTTTTTTTTTCCATTTCATTTGTGCTAGATAAATTATATATTCTTGTTAATGGTTACTGGATTTAACTTAATTTTACTAATTATTCTAACAGTTTATACATATATTATAATAGTTAGTTTAGTTTTTTTTTTCAAATTCTTTGACCATGCTTGAGAAAATTATATAAGACCCAATTTGTAATTTACTATCCTTTGGAATATTCCAAATAAGATCTCATTTTATTATAATTAAATACAATTGTGTGTTGAGCAAAATTAAATCTTGTTTTACTAAAAAAAATGTTGATATATAAATATTACGATTCATTTAATGAACAAGTAGGAGAAAACCTAACTGTCATTCCTTTGAATGTATCGCCGAAAATTTTAATTTACAAGATTCGATGACCAATCAAGTCTCCATCTTGTGCTTGTGCATTCAATAAAATTGCAACTTGTTAACTAATATTTTCTTTAAAAATCCAGTCGTTTTCTTACTTGGATTTCCTGTAAAACCCACTTTCAGAATATTTTCTGCATTTGATTACTATATTATTATTATTATTTTTTTAAATGGAGATCGTCATTGATCAAAGCTACTGTTTTAAGTATGGCATTGCACTGGCACGTCATGATTTCGTTTATTTTCTTCGTATGAATTATTTTGTAGCATGTCTTCCGTGGTACTATTCATTTAAATATTAGTCCAACTCATTAAATAATTTCTAACTTTATAAAAAAACACACAATAATTTCACAAAAAATATTTTTCCCAACAAAAAAATAGCTTACACGGCACGTTACCCAATACATCAAAGAATTGTTACAATAATTCCATTTAAATAACAAAA